TCGTTACTCAAGGGACTCCCGCACCGGCTTACAACATCGTGGCCGTCTCTCGCGACCACGCCGGCTTACAACGTCGTGGCCGTCTCTCGCGACCACGCCGGCTTACAACAAGGAGGACAACTTGCCTGTCTGCACCGGCTTACAACGCCACGGACGGTTCATCTATCTGTGCCGCCTCTAATGTTACGGTCGTCTCTCACGGCCTGATTTACATCGGCACACCGGACTGCACTTATCTGGATGAGCTGTTTATTGAGTATGAGCAAGTCACTACTTGGGAAGCCCGGTTTTTTCCAACAAACTGGAGGCAAATTATAATATATTATCAGCCGCCGTCTGCACTGGATGGTTCAATGGGCAGGCGCATGAGTCGCCGCCACTATAATTTGGTTAACTTCAAACATCCAGTTGGAAGGAGCCATTGGCCGAGTTGCTGACACGGCTCATACGAGATCATTTATAACCCGTCGCAGTCACCTCAACCTTATACACCTTTTGCTATGGTTAAATATGGAGAATCTCAAGCCAACTCCTCGAGTCGTCTTGAGACTTGGGGGCTACAATGGTATGACTCGGCAAAATTAGCCGGTTTCAATAAATTCAAGAACTCCGGGTCATTGAAGGTAAATAACCCGGCCCCGGAGATTACTGCTAGATCGATGAAAATTTAAAGGCTATCAGAAGATTTCCGGCTCGAAATAAGGATTCTAGTTTAAAATCCGGTTCAAGAGACATCTTTCTCCCACAAAGCACTGAAGCTCTCAAATCCGGTTCAAAATCCGGCTCAAGGTAAATTTGTCCCTCACAAATTTTTGAAGCTTTTAAATCCGGTTTAAAGTTCCGGTTCAAAAAGATTTAATCTCTCGCAAGTTCGAGTTCTCAGAAAAATTAAAGGTTACCAAAGAACTTGCTACCATGATGCGCGGTTCAAACTTGGATATCCTGCCTTACGGCTTATCTTATTATGATCACTTGGGGGCTTCCTGCTCATCGGGCATAGCTATCAGTACCCTCTTGATCGGCGCAATGCCAAAACTTATATGGTCACTTGGGGGCTTCCTGTTCAAACATAGGTCGTATTCGAACCAAAGAGAACATAGCTGTCGATACCCTTTTGATTGGCAAACTACCGAACCCACTTGGGGGCTTTTTGATCGTATCCGAATCATAGCTCAACCCCTTTGGGAATCGACGTGGATCGTATTCGAATCAGCGTCGCTAAACAACTCTTAAGGTCATTTGGGGGCTTCCTGTTCAAACATAGGTCGTATTCGAACCAAAGAGAACATAGCTGTCGATACCCTCTTGATCGGCATCGCCAAAGCCACTGGGGGCTATGCGATCGTATTCGAATCTTAGCTTAACCCCTTTGGAACGGTTTACTAATCGTATTCGAATCAGAAGCCTCAAAAAAAAATTTATCTGTTTCTCATACAGTTTTTTGTAATCACAAATATTTGAGTTGTCACAAATATCATATGTGCCGGCTTTTATATAATTGGGTTCTCACCCTCACTGTCCGGGTCATATAAACCGGCGGTATAATCCAAAGGATCATAGGGATCTTGTGATCTACTTGTGTGCAGGATAAGACTACATTTGGGTGGTTACCCGTGATCAAATATTTCCTAAATGAATATGAACTTCCGTGAAATTGGTGATATTATTGCAGTTGGCCTCCATTGAAGATCCGAGATATTTTTAGGTACAAAACAAATAGCCATAACATAGCTCACAAAATGATACTTGATTGTGGCATATGACTTGGCAATAGTATATGCTATGAACTGACTTAGTAATTGCGGTGGGCGTGTCTATGTGTGTGGTTAGTTCTATATTTTCATCTTTAGATCGACATTACTTAAGAAAAAGCAAAAATGCTTATGAGTGTGAGTTATATTGTACAATATATTAATTTCCTAATATTTAGTTATTCATATTTGCAATAACCAAACCGTTGAAACAGATGTAGCTGAGTACTTAAGATCTATGATGAATTTTCTTAGAAGTTATGATCATTTAATCTTAGCTACCGTTAGCAATGTTTAGCTAATCGATGGATGTACAAACACAAGACACATGGTGATTTTATCCAAGTTATCCCATGAGGTCCTATGCACTGAGTAAGTTAAGGTTTTCACATAGTTTTATTTGGTGCAAAGTTTCAACTATTACAGCTAATGGTTTGGCATAAAGAATCTTCTATATGGTCTCATAAAAATCCAATAGGAAAATTATGTGCCTGCCAGAGCCGAAGTGCACAAAGGATTTACCTATGAATTTTTTTTAGATAGAATGAAGTGCACAAAGGATTTACTTCACATGTTTTCCTAAAAGTGTTTAACTCTCACCAATACTCAACTTTCCCTTTAGTTTATTTGTAGATGCGAAATTATTATTTCAACAATGCCTACCTTTCAAATTTATATCTTTATATTATCATGTAAAATATTCCTATATATCTTAGATTTTCAACCTGTTATATTTTCTGCTATCCATATATTGTTTTACCAGTTGCCTCCATATTTGCCTTGCCAATCTTCATATTTTTTTGATAGTCTATATCTTATAAAATGTTATCAAAGATATACAATATTTTATTAATCCAAACACTGATGTTCATACAATCAAATTGCATTGAATTATATTACAACCGGTTCCCGCAACAACGTGCGGGGTATCATCTAGTTCATTCAAATGTAAATCTGAGAACGGGTTAATAACTGGACCAAAACTAAACTATACCCGTACACGTACCTCTCAAAACCAAACCTGAACCATAACCAAATAATACCATTTCCAGCCCAACCAAAACTGCACCCAATATTTTTTCCACCCAAACCGGTCCACACCCAGTATATAACCATGGGTTTAAACCCAATACATAACCGTATTCAACTTTAGTTTAACAGTGACATGCCAAACAATAATTTAGCAGAAACATCCAAGACTTGCCTGAATCGGCAACAAAGAACTCTTAGAACAGCTAAAAAAGACAAGGCGGGCAATGTGGACGCATAACCAAATCATTTAACGATAGAGCACATCCATGTCCTGTTTTAACCTCAAATACTTTCAAGTCAAGCGTCGTACCGATTCATGCGGTGACAATATGCAGGATAATAAAGATAACATGGTCCATGGCACATTCCTAACAATTAACTCCACTACAAAATTCAGTCTAGAGAAAGTTCAAAATCATGACGACGACACAAAGACAATGAAACACGGCAAGCCGAAACACGGCTTCTAGGACGGTTTTCGCACTCTACTCCTCCTTGATGGCGCCCTTGTCGCTGACGTAGATACCATCCAAGAACTTCCCGATATCCTTGTTCTTGACGTGGCATTTCTGCATAACAGCAAAGGAGAGGAAGACTGGTGTTAGTGGTCTGAGTAGAGGACTGAAATCAAATGGAAACTGCGATGCACAGCATATATGTGTTGTTCAAGTCAGATGAATAAATCACTGCAAATAACTGTGGAATAGCAATGCATGTCTCAGCAGCCATCCAAAGATGATAATTGCTTGAATAATTCAAGTGGAGCAGAACAAATGCACTGCTATAATGCAATCTGCCCAATAATGCAATCTGCCAAACCAGCAGTTTTGTCACCAAATTGTATTCGCTTAGCGACAGTGTTTTCGCTTGTTTACTTTTTCTTGGTTTCAAGTTTAACGGAAAAGAGTGTTTTCGCTTAGCGACAGTGTCTAGCATGCATGCCTACACTATAGCAGTTTTTGCTTTTTCTTGTTCTTTATACAAGCCAGAGTGTCTAGCATGCATGCCTACACTATATATAGAGGCATGATTTTGACAAGAATTAAAATTAATAATTCTGGGCTAGAAGAAAAATATATAACCACAGAGATTCGGCAAAGGTGTCCCATCACTGAAGATAGAGACCTGAAGTGAGGATGTTATGGATGCATATAACCCATGAAGCAAAATATTGGAACAGCCCCCGGAAGCACAGTTGGTCATGATAACATCAAGTGAGGTCTCTATCAATATATAACCACTGAAGATGGCCCATCACTGAACACTGATACTTCCCAAATCACTCTTAAAATGGCAGAATTTCACTAAAGTGCAGAATTGGCATACTTCCCAAATAGCCACAGGAAGTGCAGAAGCAATGATATCTGAAGAAAATGCTGAACACTGATACATCCCAAATCACTCTTAAAATCATACTAAAGTGCAGAATTTCACTAATGAACACTGATACTAAAGTGCATCATGCAACATGCCAAGCTCCACGGATGCAACTACCGATGGCAACATTCATAACCGGCGCTTGGCATGAGCGCCGCCGGAGCACCGCTCCACATGCACGACAAAGCCAAACAACAAAGCGTCACTCGCCTCTCGCAAACTGAAACTGAACCTAACATGTACAATCATGCAGAGAACAAATCGAAGTGGTTCTTTGTTGAGGAATAAAGACCTGGTTGCTGCTGTTGTTGTTGCAGACGAGGAGGGGACCAGCAGGGGCACCTTGCCGGCTTGCCACGGGAGGAGCAGGACCTGGTCAACAGGAGTAGCCGGTCAGAGAGAGAGAGAGAGAGAGAGAGAGAGAGAGAGAGAGGTACCTGTCGGCTGCCGACGGAGGGAAGGTGGCGCTGCGGAGACGGCCCGGCGACCTCAACCCTAACGGACGGGGAGGGGCGGCGGCAACGATGGGAGGGCCAGCTCGGGGTAGCTCATGCTGGATCTTCTGTCCCAAGGAGGGGGCGGCGCCGGAGGGGGACGGCGAGGCGGTGGCGCAAGGAAGGGACGGCGAGGGGGAAGAGACAGGGGGGCGTGCGGGCGGCGGCGAGGGCGAAGACGGGCGGCGCGTGGGTTGGGGAGCAGTCGAAGGCAATGAACCCATACAGAGAACCGGGTTGTACCCACAGTTTATAGCCCATAATACATCAAACGGTTTCAGCCCATAACCAACTAACCCAAACTGGTTTCTCTCCAAACCCAAACCAAACCGAACTAAAGAAAGCCTCAGCCCAATAAAACCTAAACCAGTCAAGCCCATAATAAAAAACCAAACCATTTCAACCAGTTTTTCTAAAACCACTCCCAGATTTATTCGAATGGAGGGAGTACAATTTTTCATATAACCCACATTTGATTGGTCTTATTCATTCGAATGGAGGGAGTAAGTCAGATATATCTACAGACATGCATCTTTCAAGGAAACAGGACCTAACCCCTGAAAGTTGACTACCGAACATTGGTATCAGGTCTCAAGTAAAACTGCTTACCTTTAGAGCAACATCTGACTGAACAACCGGACAGTTCATTTTCACGGAAGATATTTGATCCATTAAATGACAGAATGTATCATCGGTGCTCAGGCTGCAGCTGCGGGCCTTTCTTCCATCGTTGCTACCTAAAGGTCTCAGAGCATTGGCTTGCTGAGAATCAAAATATTCTCGAGGATCCTACAAAGACGAGGCATGACAATCCATAACGCTGTGATATATTACTGTAGCTGATATATTATATCAAGTCATATGAACCAACTATTACCTTTATACAAAGTGGAGCGTATGGGAGACTTCGTGGAGCTTGCAGATCCTCTATCTCAGTCATGCGGGCCACCTTTACCAATCTCTCATGACTAGCATCATCAGCAACAGAGCTAGGAGGTGGTTCTGCAGTTCATAACTCATCAGCCTAGTAAGGAACTAATTAGGGTGAGAAAAGATGCACCACAGCGATATAATTACTTACCCTTCTTGGACCGTGCAAGTGCTTCAGCCACAGTCTTCGTATCAGTTGATTCAATATCTGCACAAAGATGAATAACAAATACAACCACCTTACAGACAGAAACTATATGGTGCATTAATACAAGTTATTAATGGCCAATAAGCAAATGCAAAGTAGAAATTATTTACATTCTCTGATGTGAAGGGGAAAGTACACCAGCACAGAGCAGGTACTACACTACAGCATTACAATGTGCAACCAACCAGCAGTATAGGACGGTTGATTTGTGCTATTGTTGGTGCATTCTTTTTCAGGAAAGTCTAGATAGAAAAACAGGAAGCCAGTAGAAGTGTAGTCGCAGGAGAACTGTCAGGCTGTTAGCATATCAGTATCATCTCATGATAGTAATAGCATGCTTGACCAATCAACTTCAGTATACAAAAATTTACTCCCTCCATTCCTAAATATAAGTCGTTTTAGAGATTTCAAATGGACTACCACATACGGATGTATATAGACATATTTTAGAGTGTAGATTCACTCATTTTGCTCCGTATGTAGTCACTTGTTGAAATCTCTACAAAGACTTATATTTAGGAACGGAGGGAGTAAAAGAGACAGCATGAAAACTTTTGAGTTGAGTCCAAAACTTCACCTGTTGATCTCCCTTCAAGAACAACAGCAGCATGCCGATTCAGATCCTGAGAAAGTGTTCTCCTAGCCAACTCGCTATCAGTATCAGTTGTGTCTCTGCTGCCATCACGGAGAATCCCGTGATCCTAGATGCCCGAAATAATAATGGTATGAAAATTCAAAATAGGACTAAGCACTGCATGAAGTTGTGATCAAAATAGCAGACAAAGTTGCTCATTATGAGAAACGAATAAACCACTCGTCTTTGTGAAGTTGTAGATATAACAAAATAGTAGCAAGAACACAAACACACCAGAAGATGGATGTAGTCATCTCCTGCATCTGCCTCCATGTCTAATGTTGGATCAACTCGTTTTATCTGTAAAACAAGAATTGAGTCACCAAAAAAAACTAAAGGAAAAATGTATTGCAAAATATGCAGGATGACAACAATAAACAGGTAGAATTATACCTTGAGCTTTGCCTCCTTGGCAAGTATATCATCATTTTTCAAAAACATGGCTAATTCCTCATCATCAGCGGCCTCAGCTTTTGCCGCTAAAGTATTTTTTGTTCTAAGTAGATACTCAGCTCTACAGTACTTTGTCCAAAAATCCTTTTCTGACAACTTTTTGGGATAGTCACAGGAGATGAAGGAAAAACAGAGTAAAATGAGAATCCAAATCCACTTTGTGCCAACACAGATATAGTATAAACAAACTCCAACTTAAGCTCAAGCTTCCGAAAGCCTATGGTAAGGCACATGACAATAGTATATACAAGTATGCACTGTCTTACCTTCTTCGGGACATAATCTAAAAATGCCCGATGCACGGCTGGCTTTTCTGCAAAAATCTGCAAAACATCAAATAATATATCATATTCATAACAACTGATTTTCAAGACTTATTCAACGTCCAACAAACAATCTCGTAGTTCAGCATTTACATGGTTAATAATGTATGAAAGAAAACTAGTATTACTGAGCAGATGTAGCCCAGCTCAAGGACCAGAATAAGCCTGTTCGACCGGGTCAAGAAATGTAGTCACGATGGTGTGGCGTCACGGGTGGCTACCCATGTGAGTCAAAAGGGGCACTGTTCTTCACGACACTCATTAGGAATGTGGCCCGATGAATCCAGGTCGATGACCCTACAAATCAGATAATACATCGATAGAATCTAAATGTATTCGGAAAAGGGAATAAAGAAGAGAACGAGAAGGGAGTGGGCTGTGGGACAACCCAGCCCACAGCTCCAGCAAATCAACATAAATGGCCCACAAGGGCCATCATCTCGCTTCCCCTTCCCACTCTTAATTCTCTTCCTAGCACCACCTCTCCCTCCTAGTCCCCCGTCATCACCCTTGTTTTCTTGCATCTGATGGCAAGAACACAGAACACAAGGGGGGACAGCGATGGCGGCTGTGACAGCAACAATGAGAAAAACCAGTGGGGATCGCAACAAAATGAGGACATCAACTACTAGGACTAGCTCATGCCTCTCTTCCCCTCTGCCCTTCTCCCATTGTTATTGCATGGGGTCATGACCAGCAGCTTCCTGGTGGAGAACCAGATCAAAAGAATACATGATGCTCGACCTGACATCGTGGATCGCACAGTGACCTGCAATCCAAGTAACTATGGCCAGGACAGGCTTGCAATGCGTGATAGTCTGGACAGGCCAATCCTGAGCGTATTCAATGATCCAGACTAATAGATGCAAGAATGTGTTTGAGTAGCCCACTGGTCAAGGTTTTTGAACAGGTATAGCTAAACACAGTGCAATTCACATTTTTATGCAGTAAAAATGGCATATTTACATTTTCATGCCGTAAAATGGGCTTGACAAGGGATCATACCATTCTATATGTATGTTGAGTACTAGAAAAGAAAAGAAAAATAGAACAGTATCATCACAAAGAGGTATAGTTTGTAAAATACTACCCAGTGAGGATGGCGTGGAGTCTAGGGCCATGTGTCAGTACATTACCATAAGGAAACAAGTGAGGTGTTGCTCCTTACACAGAATGCGATAGGTGCTAATAAATAGTTGGTCAATGGAACCCATTAAACAACGGAACTGTTTAGAAATTCCATCAAGCATAGCATTACACCTTTTTTAGGTACATAACACTGCACATGACAGTTAAAAATATTGCAAATGATGCTACCAGGCAGGCCAGCATTTAGATAATGCATAGCTGCATTTATGATGGTTGAAGAAGTAACAAATGATGCTAGCAGGCAGACCTGCTTTAGATGATAATTCATTACCAAGGTAGAAAGAATGTACCTGATGGATAATCTCAGTAGTCAGACTGAAAGTAACCTTGTTTGTCTGTGAAAGGACACACATAAATCAGAAATGAGTAAATTAAGATAATCAACATTCAGTAGAAGTCAATAACTGATAGGATACAGCCATGTACAACACAAACTATCATAGTATGCCACATAGGCTCGCAATGAGTATAGACCCATAGCATACCTGTCCATCAGCTGATGGCCTAACATCAGCTAGCATAGCACTTTTGAAACTTGGCTTTTGTTTTGATGCTTTGTTTGTTTCATCGTCAAGTAAATTCTGCAAAAGGACTTAATAAGTATTGGTTGCAACTGAATAAAAATATACTACAAAACAAACAGAAATTGTATCCGTGCACAGTAGTTTTTACCTTTCTTGTTGCCCAAAATTCAGACTCTTGGAGAATATTACCAAGCACAAACTTCTTATGTAACTTCTGCAGTTCACTGCAAACAGAGAAGGGTTTAACGAGACAAACGAGCCAACAATACAACGCAACTGTGTTTTCCTCTGGTTGGCTACAACAGTCTGCAAATCTGTCTGTATCATTCTCTTAAAACAATATACGAAGATTAAATGTTCATCCCTACAGCTACGCAGATCTGTTAAACTAACAGCATGAACATGCTCCTGACGTGATCTATTAATAAAATATAACCGAATGACATTACACCAACAGTAGCATTTTGACCCAAGCAAGTTCACATACGCTAGAAAATATATCTGAATGACATTCTCATACAAAAAATGGATAGGTGAAAACATTTTGGCATCTGCACTTTATTTTGGCTCTTTCAAAGTTCTACAGTTGTACATAAAAGGCATATCATTTTCAATCTACCAGCTATGCCACCAGCTTCATTATGTAATGTTGCACAGATTTGTATGCTGATGAAACAGACAAGTAAAGACCAGTTAAAATTGAAGCTCTAGTATCATCTTTGAATAAGTGAACCTACGAAAGCCAAATGCATACATCACAAGAAAAAAATCTTAGAATCAGGTAATCAATTCAAAAGCACAAGCACATAAGGGGCTCGGCAATAATTACTAAAGAGAGCAAGACAGCTTACACTGTTTTGGTTTAGTATTAAATTATTATCAATATCCCATGTTGCTGTCAGCAGAAGAAACATGCAGGATGTTTGAAATACAGATATTACCTGTCTTCTCGTAGCAATTTCATTCGCCGTTCCATTTCGGCAGAACTGAGCTGTTCTGGACCAGTTGACACAGCTGATATCTCAGGAGGTACATTTGGTCTAGCAGGCACAGTACCTTGATGTTTGCCTAAAACCCTAGCTGAAAGGACAACATCATCAGTTAGTTCTATATTTTGTTGGTAATAATTGTATAGACTAGAGGTGAAACTGAAAATCAAAATACTGAAGCAAGGACCAAAAGTAACATTAAAAATGCATAGACTCAATCTAACAAGAATAATCATTTTCAAATGATGTATTTGTTCATAATATGTATTAGAAACATTTAATGAACATTACCTACAAAGTCGCGACACAAATCACGGTTACCAACATTCTCAAACTCAAAAATATAGCCTCCCCCCTGAAAAAAGCATGGAAATCACAATCTTCTCAGTCACAGAAATAAATGTAGAGCATATGCCTATCAACCAAAACTCAACAGGATGTTTATATTTAATTAATTGATCATACCTTGTCAGAATCTTTTGAAAGATTCAATAATGCCGGTGTTGGTTTGCTACCATCTACCTTGTTGAACTTATGGCCTGAAGCACATGTAGGAAGAAGCTACAAAGTTACCATCAAGCATATTGGTAATGACCATGAAATCAATTCTCATCAACCAACATGCATGACCTACTCTGGCACAGCTGATGAGCAGAATATGTAATCCTGGATGTATATATTATGAATATGTGATCTTTGGATGTTCGTATTCTGAATATATAATCTTGGATGTTCGTATTCTGAATATGTAATCTTGGATGTACATATTCTCCATTCTGTTAAATCATTTCAAACAAACCCACAGTAATCGCAAACCACATCTAGTAAATGCCCATCTATCAACAATTAAATAGTTTCCTAACACATCAGGACAACTAGACTAACACATCAGAATAATGACAGCACTTCAATTGTGTACAACACTCAGTGCTATGATTATAGAAACCAGCGCTGCATATGGACAAAGGATAAGTACCTTTGATGGTCCGAAAATCGACACTGAGCTTCATTAGTGAGCGTGGATCATTAGGAGTAAATGTTAACTTATCTTCACTCTGTAATTACAAGAACAAAGAAATAATATGATTTAGATCAAAGAAGCGCATTATGATCGCTTGCAAGCAGCGGTAAGAAAGGAATGAATGATTCACACCAGCTGAAACAAACAGAGATGACTGTTCAAAAGTAATGCCCACTAAGTCAATGAAGCAGTGCGCCTTGCTGCATCAGCGCCAAATATGAAAATACTAGGAATATCATGCACAAACAATGCAATCACGAACAAAACAACTGCCTCAAGCAGATTTTTATAGCATGCGTTGAGCCCCCAATTTCATTAAGCAAACCGGGTGTTCTTACTTGGGGCACAAATTGGCTCCCACTAAAGGCAAACGAGGCACTGAGCTTGATACACAATCCTTCTGCTCTAACCGCAATGCTAACTTACGGCGGATCGTACTTACTCTGTTCCACGACTAAACCCGAAGGTTGGATGCGGTACACATACAACAATGAGGAAAGCACAGGCACATGCACTCCTCCGATCTAAGCAGCAGCATCCTTCAATTTGTTCCGTTTTGCGTCCAATCAGAGACCTACCCGGGATCAATCAGTTGGGTACCTCAACACCGATAGACCCCTGCCAAGCAACCCACGCCCCGACGACCGAGCAGTAAAAGCAACGCCGTCGCAAGCCAACCAAACAGAACCAAAACCAATACAGCCTGCCTGAATGAAGGGGGGTTTCGGATGGGAGGTGCGAATGGGGTGGGATGGGGTGGGGTGGGGGTGGAGACGGCGAGTGAGGATGGGACCCACCATGCGGAGGACGCCGCCGGTGCCGCGGTCCTTGAGCGTGGCCTTGTACTTGGCACCGATCGTCATGGTCCCCATCGCCTCCACCTCCTCGCTCTAAACGGCGCAGGGAGAGAGCGAGGCAGCTAGCTAGACAGGGATTCGCTGTCAGGACCTAGTTACGATCTGAACGAATTTGAGCAAGTGACACCCGGCTGGTCGTCTCGCCTCGCCGGCGCCGGTGTCGATGTCAAGTTCGGAGGAGGGCTTCGCGCGTGCAGTCGGAGGCTGGAGTCGTTGCAGGGGAGGAACAAGAGACGCTGCGGAGAGCTGGGCCTCCGGCACAGGGAGAGAGTTAGGCGGCGGCGGCGGCAGAAGGAGATGCTGGTGGGAGGCGGCGGTGCGCGTCGGTCTGAGCGAGGGAGCGACGGCGAGGGGAAAAGGAGGCCGAGCGAACGTGTACGTACACGGTGGCACTAGTCCGTAAATACGAGCACTAGGCCGTGGCTAAAAGTAGGCCGCGTTTGCTTAGACCAAACCGAAAAACTGATCGTTTTTTTATTAAAAAAATCGGTCTTCTGAATTTTTTTAAAAAAATTGCTGGTGGTCTTCTGAAATGACAAATGACAGATCCAGAACCCATTTTCTAGAAACAGAATTTTTGTTCGGTTCCGGTTAAAAACTGAACTAGACTGCACGATATGTAACATATTCCTAAAAAAAATACAACACTTTGCCTGTTTTCCATAATTTTTTCATGAGCAATCAAAATTATGTTGTCGTATCACCGCATCAATTTTCCATGAATAAAATAACAATATAACAATAATATTGTCACCTCATCATAGAGTTTAGTCTCTTTTTTGTTTTCTTTGTTCGAGTACCTGATGACATTGAAATTAAATTCGGTGGCCCAAAAATTGGAGTAGTTTAGGTAGTAATTTTCTTTGGTTTGAATCTCCCCAGGCTCAATCCTGTTTCTTTAGATGTAGGGTGTCAGTTTCCCATTAATATACCCATCCCAAACTAAAAAAAATAACCGATGCCCGGTGGCGGAGCTACAAAGAAATAGTTGGGTGGGTTAGTCTAAAGAAGAACATGTTTTTTTCTTCAAATTTTCAACTATACTAAAAGGTACTCCCTCTGTTCGGAAATACTTGTCATCAAAATGAATAAAAGAGGATGTATCTAGACATATTTTAGTTATAGATACATCATTTCTTTTCCATTTTGATGACAAATATTTTCGGACATAGTGAGTATTAGTTAGTGCCCAGTTAATTTGAAAATCATCGTAATGCTGAACCATCTCACTTTCTTTTGAAACCAAACCAAATCTTTGTTGACTGGACTTATCCATTGCGAGTTATTTAGTACTCCGTTTGTCCTAAAATAATTGACTCAACTTTGTATTAGCTTTAATACAAAATTATTATAGAATTGAGTCATTTATTTTAAAACGGAGGGAATACATAAATTCCAATTTATAAAACTTCACAAACAATAATTGATTGAATATTTCATGCTACCAAATCGGTACTATGAAATTCCGATAACTATAGCCTATAGGATTTTTCTGTTTAATTTGGAGGAGCCTATACGGAAATTGGAATTGAGAATTTGAGATGATGCCTTGAAGTGCAATTAGGAAAAAGAAAGGAAACTATTTTTTTTTGAACACGTACTGATGCAAGCGCTCATATACACGTGCATACACTCACCCCTATGAACACACACACGCACACCTCTAGGAGCATTTTTGAAAGACTGAGCCGACATATTATCTTGAAATTTACGAAGTCACCATAGGCACCTCGTCGTCGACGGGAACGTCTCCTCCCACTGAATGCGCATCGCCGGAAATCATGAAATAATTCCAAGAATAAATGCGAGCACCGAGACTTGAACCCTGATGGGCTGAGGATACCACGGTCCCTCTAACCATCCAACTACAGGTTGGTTCACAGGAAACTAGTTTTTTAAGGAGTAGAAAGGAAACTAGTTTGTGCACAGTGCATGCATGATTGGCTGAATCTGGAGCGTCCAGGCTGAGTCTGGAATTGGATGTACGCTGCATTCAGGCTTCGAACAGCAAGTCTCATGTGCATAGTCACGCATAACGACAGGTCTCCCGTGCGCATGCAGACTGCTCACGCCTCACGAACTGGACTGGGCATGTGTAGTTTCCTTTTTCACCTTTGGACAGGGCGGGCCACGACACTGTTTTGCCCGCACGTAGCTTCGCTGGTGCCGATGCCAGAAGCTCAGGTAGCGACTCGGCCCTACTCATAAGGAGGATCACGAATGGGCTGCTAAGGAGGGGAGACTTGCTAAGGAGGGGAGACTTGTGAGATCTTACGTTAGGTGAGATCAATGGGATCGATTTTTCTGAAAGAAAAAAACATGTTCAAACATTTTATAAAAAGAATATAGACACACATCAATGTGTGATGTGCAATCTCAAAAAATTTCAACTCCTAATTTGACTTACATTAATAGGAAAAAAGACAAATCAGATGTGAATAGTGTCAAAGTACTATACACCCAAAGCTATCACTATTCACATTCAAAATTGTCTTTTTTGAATCAGTAAATGTGAATAATGTTAAAGTACTATTCACCCCAAAGATGTCTCTATGTCAAATTATACACTGTTGCTTTGAATCATTCGGATCTAAATATTCATACAATAAAAGAACGATTACATGATGAACATGTCAGGTAGCATCCCACATCAAAAATTATCTTTTTATCATTTACGTACTTGAGGACAAGCACGAATTAAGCTTGAAGATGCTTGATACGTCTCCAACGTATTTATAAATTTTTATTGTTCCATGTTGTTATAGTATCAATCTTGGATGTTTTATATGCGATTATATATCATTTTTTTGGACTAGCCTATTAACCTAGTGCCAAGTGTCGGTTACTGTTTTTTGCCTGTTTTTGGTTTTCCAGAAAATAAGTATCAAACGAAGTCCAAACACTTCGAAACTTTTTGAGGGTTTTTTCTACACAAGAGTGAAAGATCGTGGATGTCGCCTAGAGGGGGGAGTGAATAGACGCTTTAAAATAACTACGGTTTAGTGTTGAACAAATGCGGAATAAACCTAGCGGTTAATTTGTCAAGCACAAAATCTAAAACAATTAGGTTCACCTATGTACACCAACAACTTATGATAAGCAATATAAACAACTATGTGATAGCAAGATATATAACATGAAACACTATGGCTATCACAAAGTAAAGGGCAAAAGGGCATAAGTAAAGGGCTCTGGTAAGAGATAATCGAGGCACGCAGAGACGACGATGTATCCGGAAGTTCACACCCTTGCGGATGCTAATCTCCGTTTGGAGCAATGTGGAGGCACAATGCTCCCCAAGAAGCTACTAGGGCCACCGTAACCTTCTCACGCCCTCGCATAATGCAAGATGTCGTGATTCTACTAAGGGACCCTTGAGGGCGGTCACCGAACCCATACAAATAGCAACCCTTGGGGCGGTAACCTAACCCGTACACTTTGGCAACCCTTGGGGACGGTCACCGGTACCCGTCAAATTGCTCGGGGCGATCTCCACAACCTAACTGAAGACCCCGACACTTGCCCAGAGCTTTACACCATAATGATTGAGCTCTAAGGCACCACCAACCGTCTAGGGCGCCCAAGCACCCAAGAGGAACAAGCTCTAGGGTACCAAGCACCCAAGAGTAATAAGCTTCTCAAACTTCACTTCCATGTATCACCTTGGATAACTCAAACCGATGCAACTAATGCAATGGCAAGGGAACACGGAGTGACCATGTCCTTCTCTCCCAAATCCCACCAAAGCAACTAATTGAAAGAAATATGCCGTAGAGGCAATAATAAAGTTGTTATTTTATATTTTCTTATTCATGATAAAGGTTTATTATTCATGCTAGAATTGTATATCAGAAACCTAAATACATGTGTGAGTACATAAACAAACACTGTGTCCCTACTGAGCCTCTACTTTACCAGCTCTTTGATCAAAGATGGTTAAGGTTTCCTAACCATGGACATGAGTTGTCATTTGATAACGGCATGTTGATCTTTCAGTCTTATTGCTATTGCTTTCTTCATGTCATATACATATTCCTTTGACTATGAGATTATGCAACTCCCGGACACCGAAGGAATACTTTATGTGCTATCAAACGTCACAATGTAACTGGGTGATTATAAAGATGCTCTACAGGTATCTCCGAAGGTACTTGTTGGATTGGCATAGATCAATATTAGGATTTGTCACTCCGAGTACCGGAGAGGTATCTCCGGGCCCTCTCGGTAATGCACATCATAAGAAGCCTTGCAAGCAAAGTGACTAATGAGTTAGTTACATGATGATGTATTACGAAACGAGTAAAGAGACTTGCGGGTAACGAGATTGAACTAGGTATAAAGATACCGATGATCGAATCTCGGGCAAGTAAATACCGATGGACAAAGGAAATAACGTATGTTGTCATAATGGTTCGATCGATAAAGATCTTCGTAGAATATGTAGGAGCCAATATGAGCATCTAGGTTCCGCTATTGGTTATTGACCGGAGAGGTGTCTCGGTCATGTCTACATAGTTCTCGAACCCGTAGGGTCCGCATGCTTAACGTTTGATGACGATTTTGTATTATACGAGTTATGTGATTTGGTGAACGAATGTTGTTGGGAGTCCCGGATGAGATCACGGACATGACGAGGAGTCTCGAAATGGTTGAGAGGTAAATATTGATATAAAGGACGATAGTATTCGGACACCGAAAGTGTTCCGGAGGGTACTGGGTACATATCGGGTCACCGAAAGGGGTTCCGGGCACCCCCGACAAAAGATATGGGCCTAATGGGCCAAGAGGGGAAACGCAGCAGCCAACAGGGGCTGCTGCGCCCCCCATATGGGCCAAACTAGAGGAGAAGGAAAGAGGCTAAGAGAGAAGGAAAGGGAGGGATTCGGCCTCCCCCTTCCTTTTCCCTCCTCCCTCCTCCTTCCTTCCCCCATCTGGAACTTATGGAAGGGGGAGGACGAATTGGGGAGGCGCCCAAGTAGGATTGCTCCTACTTGGGGCGCCCCCTTGCTGCTCCC